CATTTTTGCGTTGAGCAAATTTCTTTGCTTTCGAGGCATTTTAGTGCGGAATAAATAAATATTCAAAACTGAATTTTGATGAAATTTGACATGAAAGTCAAAAACTTCAAATCTGACGCAAATTTGCAACCAACCTAACAGTGTGAAAATCTTGCATAGGGGATTTATTTTTTTCACCAACATAATGCAACAGGTTGTGTTTCTTTAATTTATGAACAGGGTTTACAAATGCTCTAACTTGGCGAAGTTACAATATTCACACTAAAAATTTTTGCAGTTTTTTAAACTGTGCCATCAGTGTGAAAGAAATTATAAAATCTTGATGTTTTTACTGAAAATGTAAAAAATCCTTAGATTATAAAAAAAAAGTTGAAAAAAATCCCTTTTTCCCTTTTTGTTAGAAAAATCCCTAGAACTAGGGAAAAATTCCCTAATCTGGCATTACTGGGTCTAAATATGATGGGCCTGATCTATACCTAATTGATAAAACGAAAAAAATATTTCTGTTTGTTTAGTAAGTTTTAGGGGGAACAAAAATAGTCATATAATTTGTTAATGAAATTGTATTAATATTTTCATACAACTTAGACCAAGTATGTGGTTTGTGATTTAGATATGAAAATTCTACCGCAAAATAGACATTCTGCGCAAAACTAGTGCGCAAGAATTGACGCTTTAAAAATTTAAGGTTATGTTTGTATCAGTTATTTCATGAAATAAAAGAAAATGTTTGAAGCTCAGGAAATTAATGCTGAACACAAGGACTTAATTCATGATGTTGCTTATGATTTTTATGGCCAAAGAATGGCTACTTGTTCCAGCGACCAATACGTTAAGGTTAGTATTTCTCATTTTGTATTTCATCATATAATTTTAAAAAATGTAGGTATGGGACCAAAATATCGACGGCAAGTGGACGTTAACATCAAGCTGGAAAGCACACAGTGGTTCCGTTTGGAAAGTAACGTGGGCCCATCCAGAATTTGGCCAGGTTTTGGCTACTTGTTCATTTGATAGGACGGCTGCAGTTTGGGAAGAAATTGGTATTTTTGAAACGTTTTTTTAAATAAGTTTGTATAGAGTATTACTTAAGTTGGTGAAACTCCCGGTCCTGGCGAAAGGGGTACAAGGCATTGGGTCCGCAGGACAAATTTAGTGGATTCAAGAACTTCAGTTACTGATGTGAAGTTTGGACCAAAAACACAGGGTTTGCAATTGGCGACTTGTTCAGCTGAGGGAATTATAAGGATTTATGAAGCGCCCGATGTTTTGAATTTGAGTCAGTGGACCCTACAATATGAAATTCAATGTAAATTGCCGTGTAGTTGCCTAAGTTGGAATCCTAGTTTATCAAAGTATTTTTTTGTGAAATAGTATAAAATAGTTTGTAAATGTAATTTTTCAGAATGCATCCTTTAATGTTAGCTGTTGGAAGCGATGACCCAAATCCAGCTAATGGAGTCAAAGTTTTTATTTACGTTTATAGTGAGAGTAGTAGAAGGTGGACCAAAATGGATGCCATCACAAACATTACTGATCCCGTTTATGATATCTCATTTTCTCCTAACTTAGGTCGCAGTTTTCATGTTTTAGCTATTGCTACCAAAGATGTTAAAATTGTGAATTTAACACATGTTTAGTAAGTTTTTTATTTTTTTGTTAATTCAGTTAAATAACATGGTTTTTTTAGTGACAACCCTAATTTACAAAATGTTATTACAAAATTAGATGCACAAATTGTTGCTCAATTTGACGATCATGAATCTACTGTTTGGAGAGTGTGTTGGAATGTTACAGGAACGATTTTGGCGTCAAGTGGCGATGATGGTTGTGTCAGAATGTTCAAAAGTAAAAATTAATTATTTTTTTTTACTGGAAAAATTTATTACTAATTTTTTGCAGTGAACTACATAAATTCGTGGAAGCCAATAGCAGTACTAAGAGGAGATGGCTCACAAGTCTCTAATGAAGGCCAAAGGTCGTCAGTGTCTTCAACAGTAGGACCACAAGTTCAAAGTGCATCACAGACTGCTAGATATATTAAACTGGGTGCTATTTCTCAACCAAGGGATGTCCCTTGGCATTAATTTTTTTACTATAGGTATAAGAACGAAAATGAGACGGGATGTATTTCATACAATACTTACGTAATAAACATTTTTTTAGTCTCTTCTTATTTTTAATAATTTTGTCTGTTCTAAAACTAACGATTATTTAAAGTATTGTACAAAGAACTAATCTAATCATTGGAAAATTTCGGAAAAATTGTTTACAACTTTTTGTCTTATAAACTAATACAGAGTGTTTCACACAATTTTACGAGGCTTGCGCCTAATGTACACCCGGGGAAAGACTATTTACCAGTCTAACTTTGTACTCGAGCTGCGCTTTTTCGTAATAGCGTTTCAGACTAACTAGTTGGAGAGCAGGTAATATGTCGAAAAACCCTTATTTAGGAAGTTGGTCCGGACCCGAAAAATGTCTTTGTAAAAATTACTTCCATGAGCATAGATTATAACGTATACATTAAATTGTGATTATAATAAATAAGCTTGCTCAATTATCAAATTACAAATACATAAATTATTTAAGAAATGTATTTTGCAAGTATACAGTATGTTCCCGTATTAAGTTTACAAGAGGAAAAAATTTTTACCTTTATTTTACGCCAAAACTGCAAAGGAAAAACATTTTTAGCTTGACTTGACTTTTAAGGTTCTTTATCTACAGTTTTCAAAAATCAAGATTGTAGAACTAGTGTTATGCCAGAATTCTTTAATAAACTGTGAATTTTGCCAATTTCTATCAAGTTATTTCTTTTATAATCAAAATTCTGAACTTAATATTACATTTTATAACAGCCAATTAAAAGGAAAAAAATTTTTACCTTCGATTTTACGCCCAAAAATATAAAGGAAATACTTTTTTCTATAGCCGATGTTAAACTATTTCTTTAAAAACTCTTTTGAGTAGATAAAGTAACACTTTAACAGCAAGGGTTCTTTTTGCTTTATCTGAAACGAGCAAATCTGTAATTAAAACTTTATTATTCTGACTCAGTAGAAAGAAAAGTTAATGTTTTTCTTACTTTTGGACTTGTAATACTAATCTTTCTTTGCTTTGCAAGTCCCATCACATTGGTGATTTTATTTTTTTGACAACGATGTCACTTTGACAATTAATTCATTAATTGAATAATGATTGTTTTTGTTAAAAATGACTGTTTTTTTAGGCTGTTTTTTTGACTTGCCATTTACTAAAATTATGTTTTTTTACAAACATTTTTGTTATTTAAGTTGCGTTAACTCATCTGTCAAAACAACATCGTTGTCAAAAAAATTAAACGCCAATGTGATGGGATTTAAAACGCAGAAAAAAAATTACGCTAGTTTACACGATTTTTATACCTTAGCTGAAAGTTATAATTTCTTGTAGATTTTGAGGCACTAAGTTCGAAAAAAAACTATTTAAAAAAGTTCACCACGTTACGTTTAAGAAATATGTAATAAACAAAAATACAAAAACCGCCAAAGAACAAATTAAAAATGAGTTATTTTACTTTTTTTGGATCAGTTTTCTTTATAACAATCCAACAGAAATCTACTAATATATTTTCATCCCAAAAACCTTCGTGTCGATCTTTGAAAACCCTTCAGACCTTGATGAAAACGCTCGTCTTGTTTTCATTCATGCTCCCTAAATTTTTAGAAAAAAAGTTCAAATGCGAGTGAAATGTTTTTACGACCTATTTAGACCCATATGGTAATAATTTTGCAATAATTCAGCAACAATTTGAATTTAAATAAATTTTATTAAATCGGAGGCATTTGTGCAGAAAGCAGGAATATTATTATCGTATTTAACAAAAAATCTGACGTACTTAATAGAAAAATTTAGCAATTATTTTTGTTGAATTAAAGGTAAGTTAACATAAAAATAATAATTCGATTAAAGGTATATTAAACATGTTATTGTTTGTAGACTATAGTATCATTAGTTATTAGAAGCTCAAAATCAAGAGAAAAATTAAATTTTCTTTCCACTGAGTGAAAATAATGAACTTTTGAAGTTACAGACTTACTGGTTTCAGGTGAAGCAAAAAATGTTTTTCTTTTGCAGTGTTGGCGTAAAATAAAAAAAATAAAAAATCTGGGGACATACCTACCGTATAATATTAGTTATTATTATTATTATTATTATAGCATTAAATTTACCACTTTGGGTGTTTTGCTTTGTTTAGAAGTAATAAAAATAAATATAAAAAATGGAAGAAACTAGCTATTTGTAACAAAATTAAAAGTAAATGACAAAAATTTTGTTAAGGTAATGAAATACATGGGCATGCATTTTTTTCTCTAAAATTTTATAAAAAAAGGGTAAAGGAATATTAAATAATATAAAATAATTTTATTTACCAATTTTTTCACACTGTAGGAAATCAAGTTTTACTTACAATCCCTACTTAGATGCGACATCTGCATTATTTCCGCATCGTTTGTAACTAAAATAAATATTAAACAAACACAGTCTAAAGAAAATTCCATTTTACGTTAAAGATATAATCTGGAACATTTTTTATCAAATATCCAGCAATGGAACGCGCTATCGGCTCATTAACTAGAGGATCCTTGGATCGCTGTTTTTGCAAAGCAACTAAAAAACAGTTTAACACTTTTATACTTTGCGGGGTTATTTACCCACCATTGGAGGGTTCTTTTTTTAAGGGTATCGCGTCTCCCATTCCTGCTGGATTTAGGCATATTTGGCGGCGTTGAAATTCTCGGTTGCTTGACTTGCACATCGGTGGCATTGCTGGTGACACACTAATTTTCATTTTTCAAAAAAATTATTAACCCATAAACATTTACCTGCTACGTTTTATCGGTTTTGAAACAGGACGTGTTGTTCCTGTGGTCGCAGGACGTCGTTTTGTGTCATTCATTTGGAGCTTTGAAGATGTTGCTCTATAAAAAGCACAAATAAAAACTTATTTTTCAAATGTAAACAGAAGATTGTACTTTTTAGCCGAATTTGATGTTTTGACAGCATCTTCTTTAATCCTTCGGTTAATTACTATAGAATTTGTTTTTGAATAAATTGGTTTTGCTGATTGAATTCTTGAATGGTCAGCTTTCGGTCGTGAAAGTTTTGCGATATTTTTTGTGAGCATTAGTGCAGGATTTGCAGTTTTTGATCTGGCTTCTGTTTGTTGTTTAGAAACTTTATTTAATAAAACAATGCATTGGTTATAAAGGGTATGTTGCGATTTTGCTAATGAAGCAGATTTTGGTTTAACAGAAACTGTTTCCGGCGTTGAATTTTGTATTGTAGTTGCAATAAGTTCAGGATTAAAATGTTCATTTATGTGTTTATAGTACAAAATATTATACATTCCACCTAATCTTCCGTAGGGAGTTTTAAGTAATTCTGTTGTGACCGCATTCTCGTCTACTTGAAACAACTCACCCAACTTTTTACTCATCTAAAAAATATTACACAAATCGTAATCAACTAACACAGGGCGACAAAAAAAAGTCATGTCGTGACAACTTGACAAATTTTATATCATTTTGTTCCTCTTAGTGAGACAAAACAAATGCACTAAAAAAATTTCAAAAAGTCTGATTTAAATGAATTTAAAATACTTTAACTTTAAAAAATCATTACTCAATAACTATTACGCCGATTTCCTTCAAATAAAGACCATTCTAAAGAGATGGCCTTGCCCTTTAGAATGATATAAAATTTGGAATTGAATATTGACAAACTTTTCTTCGAACAGTGTTCGAAGAAGTTTGAAGTAAATCGAAGTAATCTAAGAAAAACCCTACGAGTATTTTTTTGTTACCATCGTGTAGAGCATCTTTTTATTAGTAAGAATCCAAATTTTTTAAATAATATACCGAGTAGTTTTTAAGATATGATTTTTTGAAGTTAAGGTTTGCTATTCAGGTATTGCGCCATATAGGAGAAATGCATGTTAATCTTACTTAAAATTGCATTTTTATAAAAGTATTTATTTTAAGACTCTTCTTTTGCTTGAAGATGGTCAATTGCACCTTCTTTGTTCTAATTAGAATAAACAAAAAACTGTTTCTTTACTTAAAACAAACAAAGAATGTCTGCGTACTAATTAAGGCAAATAAAGAGTATTTTTGTTCTAAAAATGATCATTGAGCAAAAAGGATCTAGAAGTTTAAAGCAGTAGCTTTAGATATAAGAACAAATCTTTTCCAAATTAAATCACTTTCCATTCAGATTCCAACTTGTTCACTTTGTTCTAGCTTTCTGAACTTTTTTTTGAAAATGTTCTCAGCAAATGCTTTTTCATCACTTTCCACTGATGTTGAATGCAATAAATCAGTTGCTTCGTGTGCAACTGTTATCACAACAACTACTACCTACCAGCTAACTGAAGGTAATCGTAGAATGTACCAACAAAATAAATCAGGTGACTTATTTAACATCACTCGAAAGTGATGAGAAAGCATTTCTTCAGAACATTTTCAAAAAAAGTTCAGAAAGCTAGAACAAAGTGAACAAGTCGAAATCTGAATGGAAAGTGATTTGATGTGAAAAAGATTTGCCCTTATATTTAAGGCTCGTGCCTTAAACTTCTAGATCCTCTTTGCTCAATGATCAGTGGTCATTTTTACAACAAAAAATCTCTTTATTTGCTTTAATTAGTACGTAGGTACTATTTATTTGTTTTAAGTAAACAAACAGTTTTTGTTTATTCTAATTAGAACAAAAAAGGTGCAATTCATCATTTTTAAGCAAAAGAAGAGTCTTAAAACAAATACTTTTATAAAAATGCAATTTTAAGTAAGATTAACATGCATTTCTCCTATATGGCGCAAAACCTGAATAGCAAACCTTAACTTCAAAAAATCATATCTTAAAAACTAATCGGTATATTCTTTTGAAAATTTGGATTACAACTAATAAAGAGATGCTCTACACGATGGTAATAATGAAAGAAAAAAAATACTCGTAGGGTTTTTCTTAGATTACTTCGATTTAATTCGAACTTCTTCGAACACTGTTCGAAGAAAAGTTTGCCAATATTCAATTTCAAATTTTATATCATTCTAAAGGACAAGGCCATCCCTTTAGAATGGTCTTTATTTGAAGGAAATTGGCCTAATAGTTATTGAGTAATGATTTTTTAAAGTTAAAGTATTTTAATTTCATTTAAATTAGAAAAAAATTATTTTGTTTAAAGTGTGTGAACTTAATTTTTTTTGTGCATTTGATTTGTCTCACTGAGACGAACGAAATGATATAAAATTAGTCAAGTTATCATGACATGACTTTTTTTTTGTCGCCCTGTGTAATTAATCATATCAAACTTGAGCTCGTGTATCGTCATCTAACTCTTTAAGAGGATGAATTTGCACGCATTTCCGTCCTTTTTCCGTGATCCACGGATGGATGATAAGTTCCTTCGTTGTTATCCTTTTCATCGGTTCAGGTGCTAGAAGTTTATTTAACATTGTACGAAATTCGGGCGATAAGGGGGCCAAAGCTTGGCGTTGAGAAGACCCTATCCCTTTGTTGATTTGTGCCACGAGTCGTTTTCTGCGTTCTTGCGATGATAGTTGATTTTTCCTTCCCCCGACAAAGGGCAGTTGTCCCACTACCATACCGTAGAAAATTATCCCCCTGTAATGCAAACGTAAGTCTCCAATGTTGGATTTTGTATGGAAGTAGAGTGCGTAAAAACGCTTTTGAAAACAGGACACGTTTAATCGGCAATGGATTTTGATGATTGATTCACTAACAGACTCCAGAGGTCCACTTCCGGTCCGTACTCTCTCCCGGCAATGAAAAGCTCCGGAGCGGCGTACTCCGGGGACCCGCAGTGTGTTCGTAGAGGATTTTCGCTGCTCCAGACGTTGCTCAGCCCGAAATCTACGATTTTTATCTGAGTCTGAGAGGAATTCAGCATGACGTTTTCCATCTTGAGGTCTCTGAAATTGAATTACACAGTTTTTCATAAATTTTATTTTTTTTTCAGGAGATTTAAAGTAGAAAATTAAGGCTAAAGGGGACGACAGAGTTAAACCAAGTGTGCGACAAAGACAAGTATATTGAAATTTACTTTTAGCGATGTTTTTGATCCAACTTTAAATCATAAAATTGGATTCAGTTTTAAAGACATTTAGAATTTTCGCCAACTTAACACTTTTTTTGAAAAAAAATGATTTAACTTTTTTTTATTCAAATTTTATATAAGTACATATTCATAATATAAAAAAAAACGCTTAGGGGAAAGACGTACTGTGATGATACGAATAGAATGCGACCAAAAAACTGAAAAAATTATTATTAGTTTTTAATGAAACGCGAATATTCATTTCACTTTGACAAAATTTGCCGCCCTCTGGATACCTAAAAACTTGAAATAGCTGAAAGCTGGAAGTGAAAGATGCGCGTTTTGTTAGAGTATGCACCAGGGTCGCAATATTACTTGCAACAAAAATTTGGCAGAGAAGGAGAGAAGAGTTCAGTTACATTCAAATAAAAAAAATACAAAAGTGGAACAGAATGTAATAAATAAATGTCATAACTTTTTTCTATGTAAAAAAAATTAGAATCAATAAAACGCTATTTTTTTTCTATTCTTTTTCTGTTTTCCTTATTTTCATTGACTTGCATAGCCTAGGATCTAGTATTTCTGGTACTAAGGCCTTTTGGTAAAAATATTTTATCTTGGGTAAATTTTTTTTCTCATAACTTGGGATCCGGAAAAATGCGATCAATAGAAATATTTTGTTCTGCCCATAAAATAAAATCACAATTTTTTTATTGGTGACCCGTAATTGAGTTTGGACCTGGTAATAATAATCGTGTTGTTTTTTCAATTTATCGTTTTTGTCTAGACAAAAATGAGGTTTATCTCTTATGGCTTCTTCGATGATTTTATTTTTTGCAAAAAAAGAACACTGAAAGGAAAAGGAAACTAAAATATTTTCTACATGATAAAATTCTTTGAATTTTGTCTGTGGTATTTGTGAAAATAGAATAATGATAAAGTTGATAGGTTTTGAATAATTAACATTTTAATATTGAAAATCTGAAACTTGGAATAATTTATGGGAGGTTTGCGGTAATTGGTGATCAGGCCAGAATTTCTTGAGAAAAGAAAAAGTTCTGCAATGACATTTATGACGTACCCAAGCTCTATTGTGAATCCTCCACTCTATTGTCAATGCATTAGCAGCACATCATCCCAAACTTGGGCATAAATTTCCAGAATTCCCAATTTTCAATATTAAAATGTTAATTACCCTAAATCTATCAACTTTTACATTATCCAATTTTCATAGTGACCATTAGAAAAAATCAAGCAATTTTATCATATGGAAAAGATTCCAATTAATTATTTTTTTTTCCAATTTTTTTTTAAAGTCCCACTGACTTACGCTAAAAATGTTGAACAATATTAAAGCATCAAATTGAAGTCTATATAATCCTCTAACGTTTGCACTAGCAAAATTTTTTTAATTAATTAGAAATATTTATTTTGCGCCGGCCCCAAAACCTGGGACACTGTATAGAAACGATCGAATTAAGGGAGCCCAAGAACTGGTTTTTCTTCTTTTAATTATTTTTCCTATTTATGAGACGGTGATTCTATACTTTCTTTTATTAAACCAACTGTCAGATCCACTTTGTTCCGTAGTAGCGTTTTCGATAAAGTCTCGTTTCTCTTCTGTTACATTCAAACTTGCTACAAAATCTCTAACTTTTTTTTTGAGAATACTTGAATTCAAATGGGGTTGTTTGCAGTTTTCTCCGTAGTCTTCTTGGTCGTTTCTAATAGGTAACGTTTTATTTTTTCTAGCTTTTTTCTAAGAGAAAAAATCACTTACGCAATATTGTGACCAATTATTGGTTCCTCAAAATAATAATAATAATAATAATAATAATAGGGTGAACTTCATTCCAGATTTTTTTTATTGTCACATGTCAACTTAATCGCGAATTCAAATATTTGTTTGTAATTAAATTATGTAAACTGACCTCGGGAAATTTGGTATAAGAGTTTGCCTTATTTAAAAATACCGTATTCTTGGGTAGTGGTAGTTGTATCGAATTTCAAAAATAAAAACACTTTTCTTTTCAGTAAAAATGGTGATTCGTCGCCCTACCTTGTTTTTTTCAAAAATATTTTCTGTTATATCTGTTTTTAATATTTTTTTCAAAAAAAAACAAAAATTAAAAAAGTGTTACGTTGGCGAGTTTTCAAATAATATTTTATGCCCGAAACTTTTTTCCAATTATAAAAAAGATGAATAGTTAAAGAGAACCATCTGCCGCTTTAGCAACAAACTAAAACATGTTCCCCTTTAGCCTTAACTCTCCGAGCCGTTTCTCAGTGTGATATATTGACAGGTGGTGTAGTTTTATGTTCGTACATTTTGCTTCCAGAGTGATCATTTCTATTTTGGCTAGTGTGTCGAATGCGGTCAAAACACATAATATTGTTTATAGGAGAAAAGTGGGTTTTACGAGCGTTTACGACTCGGAATTTACGGTGAACTGGCAGGAATATTTTAGCAATTAAATCCGGGAGCTTGATTGCAATTGTGTTCGAGAATCCGTCGCTTTCAACTTGTGTAATGCACGGAATATTTTATTACCGGGGCTGTATATATGCAAGAAGTATAATAAACAGAGACATCAAGAATGTAGGACAAACTTATATAAAAAAAGAACGTTTCTAGTATGCATAAAATACCACGTCTTGTGATCCTGGCGTCGGTATGAATATATTCATGACTTAACAACTGTCATAAACAAAGAATATTACAATTTCTTATTAAATATATTATGCAAAGTATTTACTTTGAGGCTATGGATCCTGTTTTGTTCGATTGTTCAAGGCCGAGCAGCAGGAATATTGTGATAAAATTATACAAAATATATATAATCAATTGTTTTTGTAAAAAACAAGACAACATTTAGTGTGTGATTTTGCATATTCTACTCCATAATAATGTCTGAACCAGAACTGTAAACATAATAACAAAGAAAATAAATTACACAAATTAATTTTTAAGTAAATTACGAGTACTTCATAAACTTTGGTCTTTTTCATTACTTTTTTGGATATTATTTTAATCATTAGACATACACTTAACTTTTTTTAAACATACGACTCATTAAATTACTTCGCTAGGAACTATAGATGCTCTTATTCTTTCAGCATTACAATACGAAGTACGTGAAAACGTACTCACAAAGGAGAAAATTCCAAGTTTACTTAAACAGAGATTCTCTGTATCTTTTTTTTTTTTTTGTATGTATAGTTAACCTATTTTATTAAGGAGTTTATGTGAATTGACATACAAAGACGCTGGTTTTGTTTTTATGTAGGTACAAAAAGCTGCTTTTTGGATGTCCGAATGAAGAATCTCCGAAACTAAGAGTTTTAGCCAAAAATGAGTGATCCTGAGGCTTATTTTTTGAGAAAATAATATTGGTTAAAACCGCATTCCGCTATCGTCTTTTGTTTTTGACTTACAAACAAAAGTTGACATTTTAGCGAAATCTAAAAAAATTCGTATCTCCGTTATTATAGCCATTATAGAAGATACGGACTTGAAATAAAGACATTATACAGGCACTTTTTAGGTAGGATTTAATAATGCAATTAACAATTTTTTTAGTTACAGATTTGTTTAGCCTTAATAAGATAAACTTGTATTTATAGAACTCGTAGGTGGCAATGGCAATTTTGAAAAGATTTTTTTTTTTATAAAAAATACAAGGTGATTCACGAGGAATTATGAGCCTGACTAAATTTTCGATGCAACCACCATTACATTTCGCAAGTTGCTTTGCGACAAATGTAATGTTGGTTGCATCGAGAATTTGGTCAGGCTCATTATTCCTCGTGAATCACCCTGTACATATACAATTATATTTGTAACAGATTTTTTTTATAATTATACTTAAAAAAATATGAAATAAATATTTTCTTTGATAGTAATTCACCATGGAAAAACAATTTCACTTAAAATGTGTAGGGTATTGTAAACTGAAAAATAGATAAAATTATAAAAATTAAAAAAATACAATACGTTAGAAGTAACGCACAAATGCGATCGCCTCAGAATAAAATTATTACATATTTTAAAAAATCCAGAAATAAGAAAAACAAATGTGTCAACAGTCGACATAATTACTTAGAAATTTTTTTTTGATGGTCTAATGGAGGTAGGATAATGTTCCATATAAAGGGAATTTGGGTATTTGAATAGTTACTATATCGTCATTTTTGTGTCAAATAAAATATATTTTTTTGTATACGCTCCCAAAAATAGCTATTTTGCGGACTCATTTGAATCTTTTCCGGACTCAATAAAATAGTACGCAAAACAGTTATTTTAGGTAAAAATAAAATTAGTTACTAGCGTACCAAATTTTTTTAATTAGTAACAAAAAAATCTTGTATGCACCACGTACGCAAAAGGTTTTAGATGACTCCTCTCATTAAAGACTCGGCTCCTACGGCGCCTCGTCATTAATTACGATTCGTCCCCTAAAACCCTATTTTGCGTACTTGATACATACATACATAGCTTTGTATCAGAAAAAAAAATAAGTTTTTCAAAATTGCCATAACCACCTATGACTTCCTTTAAAAAAAATACATGTTTATCTTATTACCGCGAAACAAATTACTAAAGAAATTGTTAATTGCATTATTAAATTCTACGTAGAAAAGTGCCTGTATAATGACATTATTTAAAATCCGTATTTTCTTCATATAATAACCAGAATTTTTTTTAGATTTTGCTAAAACGTCAATTTTTGTCTTGTAATAAAATTTTGGATTTAGTATTTGTTTGGTGTTATAAATATGTGTAGCATATTTTCCAAACAATTAATTAATTTAATGGTGTAAGAATTCTTTGAATAAATCATATGTTGTGTTTGTGTTTTATTTAAAAGGACCGCT